TTCAGCCACAATTTCGCACATGATTTTACATGTGATGTAGCACCTTGAGCCTTTAACACTCGACCACATGTTTGATTTGGACATAAATATTCATCGTTGTTGTTTTTTAACAACAATTCTATTATTTTCATCGGTCGGAAGGTTGTTACAGGATGTGATGATGTTGATGTTGATTGTTGAACTTCTTGTGTAACAACGTTTTTTATCTGTAATATTTTTGTTTATACAAGTGTGTTGATGGATCTTTAGACCTTGTCTATGTTTACACATCCGTCCACATTGCATGCATGTAGTATCATCAGTTATGGAGGCTAGAAGATTAGCATCAACTGTAGTATTTTGCTGTATGTGATGTGATATCTCTTCTCGTGTTCGAAGGTTAGCATCTCTTTCTTTATGTTCTCGCACTATACGCGTAACGTCTCTGTGAACGGTACTATAGATGACATCACGATTAATTGTTTTTCGCCATTTATTCTTGTCATGAGTTTCTCGTCTCCAATTTTTAACATTAGATAAGGTGATATCCTTCATGATCTTATCTCTCCATCGTAATTTTATACCATGGGGAGGTCTCTTTACATCTTTGAATGAAGCGAAAAGAGTTTTCTTTGTTAACATCGGACAGTTTCGATCGTTATTCATTCTATTAACATGATCAAACCAACGCAATCTGGTTCTTCTCAAGATGTTTTCAAGAGGTGGCTGTCCAGTTAACTGAAGTATGAGATCATTCTTCATTCGATCGCCAACAGACACTCCAATTATTACCCTTAGACATTTCATATAGAACGTTTTTAAGCGTTGCTCTTCAGCAACTGTTAGAGTCCATAGTTCACTTCCGTATAAAAAGTACTGGGAGTACTGATGCTCTGTATATTCTTATTTTTGCCTGAATCGATATACATTTTCGATACCAAACAATTCGTCGGAGACTATTGAATGCACTGGATGCTTTGCTTATACGAGTTTTAATATCTTTACATTGTGTTTGATCTTTTGATACATAGCATCCACGATAGTTGAATTCGTCTGTTTTTTCTATTTTTTGATTGCCTATGAAGATGTCAAACGGCGCATTATCAATCTCTGTTCTGTCTTTGAACTTACATCTTGACTTTTTAAATTGTCTTAGAGACATAATGCATGCTTTTTTGATATTCATAGTAAGACCAAAATCTTGTGTGACTTTTTCGAATGTTTTTATAAATTTTTCTAGATCTTGAATAGTTTGACACATAACAGCAATGTCGTCTGCGTACATGAGAGCTAACAGCTTTACATCATCGCTATTTCCATGACCTGAGTACCACAAATCTCCTAGACGATAGCTCATGGTGACACTTTCAGCTTGTTCAAGTATTTGTCGCATGACATAATCAATATAGACATTGAATACGATCGGAGAGAGAAGGCATCCCTGTTTGACGCCAGTTTTCATTTGGATACTCGGACTGAAGTCGCCATCAATTCGTACTTCAGCTCTTATATCTTCATATAGAAGTTTGATCATTGTTATCATCTTATCAGATAGTCCATATGCACGACATATTTTCCATAGAGCTTCACGGTTAACCGAGTCATAGGCCTTCTGTAGATCGATGAAACATATGTGTAGTGGTTGATTGAATTCTCTTGATCTTTCCATAACCATTTTCAATATGAATATTTGATCGATTGTGGATCTACCAGAACGGAAGCCTGCTTGTTCCTCTAGCATTTTCTTGTCTAGCGTGTTTTGAATACGATTCAATAAGATTCAAGCGAAAACTTTTCCTGCTACAACTAGTAAAGATATACCTCTATAGTTATCGCAGATTCTTTTATCACCTTTATTCTTATAAAGTCGTATGAGAACTGCTACCGTCCAATCCTTTATCATAATTTCCTGTTTCCAGACATCACGAATGATTTCATGTAACCATTCAACTAGGGTCACACCGCCTGCTTTTAAAAGTTCAGTAGGTATTTCATCTTTCCCTGGAGCTCTCCTATTTCTGATCTGTTGGATTGCTCTCACAACCTCCCCACCAGTCGGTACAGCATCCTGATGAGAGAGTTCCTTTTGATCTAGTACTGGTTTTGGGATTTCTTATAATATTCGTTCATCAACCACTGTATTTACGTTGAACATTTCATCGAAATATTCTCTCCATCTATGTAATCGGTCTTCACTATTCGTTAATATGTTGCCATCTTTATCATGAATCGCTATGTGTTCCGTATTCATGCCATTACCGCGTAGGCGTCGTATAATTTGAAATGCTGTTGCTGGGTCGTGGTCTTTCACTGCATTTTCGATGTCAACACTTATCTCTTCCCAATATTCCCGTTGTCTAGCCTCTACTTTATTTTTAACCATCTTGGCCAACGTTCGGTAATGATTCCTGTATTTATTTTCCTCAACCATGCCACGATGACGTTGCCATTGTACATAAGCTTTAGCTTTTTTGTCCACAATATCCGCTATTTCTTGTGTGAACCATTCTTTAGTATTCTTTTGATATCTCTGACCTTTTGCAAAATATTCTTTGCTGTATTCACGTATATAATGAGTAAGTTGTGTGAATTTCTCGTTCACAGATGCGTCTTTGCTATTTTTTGCTGTGTTATTTCGATATTTTAGTAACTGTGCCTGAAATTCAGATACCAATGTTTCATTATTCAATTTTTCCTAATCAAGCTATAACCGACCTGTCTCAGCTATCTTTTTGCGACATTTTAAATGCATACGGACTTTGACCCTTAAAAGATGATGATCCGTCCCAATGCCGCCAGTTGCGCCTCGATGAGCACGCACATCCTGAATGCTATTTCGAAATTTACGATTAACAAGTACATATAGTCAAGCATGTGCCATTGTTTAGTTTTTGGGTGCATCCACGTTGTTTGGTGCACTAGCTTATGAGGAAAGAATGTGTTAATGATCACGAATCGATTGAACAAGCAGAAATCAACAAGTCGACGACCATTTTGATTCTGCCTGTCAACTGCGTGTTTACCAACTACGCTCTGAGCTGAAATAGTCTGTTCTAATCCTACTCTAGCGTTGAAGTCACCCATAATCAATATGATATCGCCTTTATTAGTATTATCAATTGATGATTGAAGATCACTATAAAACTCATCACAGGTCTCGACGTCAGCTTTTAAGCCATTTGAAGGGTTCACTGGTGCATAGACGGCTATAACAGTAATAGGTAGATATAGGTTGACATTTAATGCGAGCCAGGGCTGCCAACTCCTAATTTTCAAATGGGGTACAGAAGATTTATAATGGGGTACAGTTGGGGTACAAATTTTTTTAAAATGAGGTACACCATTGGGGTACCTCATTTTCTTCTGAAACAGAGTTGTGGTAGATGAGAAACATTCAAAAAAGGGTCTTTTGAGAAAACAGCATTACTTTAAAAACGATTCCACTGTAGAAAGAAGTACATTTTTCTTTAGTTTCAGTTTAGATGATGCGTTAACGAGTAGCTTGCTTGGAGTGTNTTTTGAAATTACTTAGAAAATATTCATTTTTTTACTTAGCTTTTATTTTAATTTACTGAGCAGTTAAATAGTAGCCTTTAGAAATTAGTATAAAAAAGTCTATACATTAATTTTTAGAGCTAAAATTCATATAACACTATCAGTAAGTTCGTAGCTTTTTTCTTTTGAACATTAATCTTTAACGTAAAACTTTTGCTTTTTTTGTCGACAATGCTTAGAGGATGATAGTAATGAAAGGAATGAGGGTATCGGCTAGTTTCATAATGATATTCAATCATATTTTGTAATACAAATCAAATCTGATGATATTATATTCGACTAGTCATTTCATTTGTTGTTTCTCTTTTGTGAAATAAAATTCAGTTGAGAGACTCCTTTGTTTTTCTTCATTAGAAACTTTTGAAGCTTTTTTTTCAAAAATTTGTCATATATTTCTATATTTATTTCGTTGACAAATGAAAAAAATTCGGATGAGACTGAGCACTGTTAAAAATGAAGGCGAAAATCGAATGAGAACAAGAACTGACTCCTCAAGACTATGACTTCCTTTCCGTACAATTCATATGTATTATATATCCTATCGATAGACAAATGTACTGGTTTGATTTAATTCCATGGTTTTCAAGACAAAAAAAATCCACTAGCACCTCATAAATCGACATATTATAAAGATTTGAGCAATTTTAGTTTCTTTGAACGAAAAATATAGTTCTTTTTGAGCTGATAATTCCTCAGTTATACGTACTAAAGAATTGATTTATTAAATATTTTATTTCATAAGCAATAAACTTTTGAGATTAGAAGATAGAAAAAGTTCATTAAACCCATACGATAAATAACCATAAATGCAATTTTATCATCATTACACGCTCTCTCCAGAATATACTATACTGTGTTACTGTGGATGTGGGGTGTAGATGTGTGTGTGTGTGTGACTGTGGACTCTTCACCACCCACCCACACTCACACCCACCCCTTTTTGCATACCAAGAAAATAATGTAAAATGTCAGGAAGAAATTTTCAGAAAAGAAACTATTGGATTAAAACATAGTTCAGCAATCAGTGCTCATTTTTCTACGAAAGAAAGGAAACAATACGTGTTTATATTTGCATTAATCAAATATTGCACACACAATATGAAAAAAATACAGACAAATTACGTAAATACATCTATTAAAAATAACAAAAAGGAAGAATTCGTTCATAATTTAATCAATGCAATGATAGTCAGTCAGCACACATAAGACTAGTAAAAATTAAAAGATTTGCGGTATTATAATTGACAGGAAATAACGTTTTGATCAATTGAAAAATGAACATTCAAAGAAAGTTATGCCAAGGGGTTAAAATAATCCTGTTGAAAAAAGTAGTTGTCTCAAGTAGTTTTTCTAAAAATTACAACATGAAGAGTATGATTTTGACGGTCTTGTTCAATAACGTGTGCTAAAACGTATAATCGTCACTCATAAAAATGTAACTTGCCAAAGGTGATTTTCTTTCTTCTTCAACGAATCCACACGTGAATGGTTTTTCCCCAACGAATAATTTCTGATATTGCATATAAGGATGGTTGCTGTTCGCTCAACCAATTAATTAGTTCATCTACATCGGATACTGTATTCTTAATTGATTGATCATCTTGACATTGAACATTCAACACTCGAAGCTTGTTCATACCATTGATCAGATCAAGTATACATGCTCGATTTGTTACACGAATCGAAAGTACTTCACATTGAGTGCCGAGAGGTGCATCACACAACGCAATACATTGTTCATTGTCGTATGAGACATCAGATAAGAGAACATTGAGTTGAAATATCGATGCAATATTTTTATTGAATGCTATCATTTCTGATGGCCAGCTAAACCAATAATCACGAATGTTTAGTGAAGACAGATGAGGCGCTCGATCAAGCAAAGCTTGAAGTTGCCTTTTACAATATTCATCTGGATGAGATGATAATATATCGAGTGATATAAGTCGACTGCATGTCGGAATAATGAACCAAAATTGCTCATTGATAGGAAATCGTATCGAAAGTTTTTCAATGTTACAAAATTGAATATTGAATGGTACTGAATATTTGAAAAAATCGACAGTACAAATCAAATGACGCACCTGATCATATGATGATCGATAAGAATTCAAAGAAGAAGTTGACTTGGAGAGAATGCAAGACTCAAGATAGAATGTGTCAAAAGCATATGGAAGAGTATAAAAACAAACTTTTGACTCATCTAAACTCCAATCGTATTGAACGAACCATTGATGTTCGTCATGCCAAAACGAACTTCGAAACGTGTCGAGCATTTTATCGATATTTCCCTCATTGTTTTCATCTTCGTTTAGATCGAGTTCCATTTTGAATTGGAATATTTTCAGCTTTTTTAAATACTGACGAATGATATCTTTCCATTCTTCTCCGATCGAAACACAATATCGCATATTACTAAGAGCAAATTTCAGTTTCGATAAATTCGGCAACCATTCTACTAGATTCAATGGTTTCGAGTACGAATGTCCGGAAAATTGTAAAGTAGTAATCGATAGGACAGGTATTGACAATTGGAAACTCCACCATTTACCAAGGGCAAATACAAAAAGATGTTTCAGATTAGGTGTGTGCTCGAATATGCGAACTGATTGATATCCATAATCTACACCAACAATTGATAGATGTTTGATACTTGATGAAGTCACTGTTGGTACCACAAAACGAGCGTAACTCCATTCATATACAAAGGCTTCATGAAAATAACAATGTGTCAGATTAGGCAAACTCCAAATAGTGTTCATCAAAAGTAAAGCATTTGTTTTGTTGCTCGGAAATTTACAATACTCGAACAATAGATGAGTCAAATTCGATAATTTGGATAGTCCCACTATGATTTTCTCTGTAATTTGTTGTTCATCAAAGTAAGACAATGAAAGTGATTTCAAATGAATGAATTCTTGAAGAGTAAAGCCATGTGCATAGAAGCGATCAATTTGTCGAGGAACTCCATCATAACCATAGAGAGAAAGTGAAACGATTCGATCAGTCTTCGATGAAATATATTTTTGACAGATGGTATCGAAATCGTATTTAGAAAACGATCGAAAGTTAATATTATGAGTTTGAAAGTAATAATCAAGAGCGACATCAAAACGAGAATTGAGATCGCAAAATGCACGAAAAATATGAGATGTACTCAAGTATTCAAAGATATTAAATAATAATTCATTGATGAAAGATTCAAATTGCATCTTCGATCGATGCTTTCTGACGCAAATAGGTTTTTGTCGTCCAACTAGAGTAAAATAATAAGAAGCCGAGTAGTATCGTTGAGTTTTGCTCTTTCCATTATCTATTCACGTTACATAAGTATCATGTGTTGACATTTACCTTGTTCTTTTGTTTCACAAGATCCTAGGATAATAAAGGTAAATAACCATTTACTTCTTAATGCTTATCTATGTTCCTTTTGTAATCTACACGAAAGACTAACTTTGACTTTTTATTTGACAATAAATGAATCGATATCACAATATAAAAAATGCCTTCATAGTCTTGAGAAGAAAGTACCTTGAAGTAGCGAAATAACCTAAGCACTCAAATGCGTCGTATATATATATAATTGTTTTCAAGGAAATCATTTGATCATTTTCTTCCCGACATCTCAGAGTTCCAAAAAAAAATTGAAATGTCCTGAAATTTCAACAATGCAGTCTAAGAAGAAAAAACAGTAGAGATGGAGCCATCTGTATTACATCAACTTTTAACTTCTTTTCAGGATACTGAAAGCAGCGATAGGCGGCAGCCACAACAGAAGCTTTTGCAAAACAGAATATGGATGTAGATGACGAGAATATTCATACTCACATTCATATATCCTGAAATACCTGGATAACTACTTCGAAACTATCTAATCGATCACATAAACGTTTCTTGTACGCATGACTTTTGCGGGTGACACTATTAACATCAAGTTTTTCTCGTCGGGTGTGGGTGTTGTCGGTGTGATATGGTTATGGATATGCAATTGAATATAATCTTCATTCACAACCACATTCTCCCTCCACAAGTTACTTACTACTTTTCATCTGACTATACCAATTTGCAGAAGAAACCGTATTTGTATTATTTTTTGTACTGACCTATCTTAAAAGAATTAAAAAAAAACAATTCAATTTATTCTGCAAATTGATTCAATCAGAGAAAAAGATGAAAATAAAATCTAATAAAAAAGATTAGTTTTGCTAGAGTCACAAAAGAATATACAAGATACATCGCTGCGTTTTAAAAAAAACTATTGATTCCAAGACTGATAATATGCTACATCGATGAATACAATTACCTAGTAGTATATACAGTAGAAATAAGAGACTTTATTACTGATGTATAGGACGAAATAAAAAAAAGTGCTTCCTTACTTTTCGTCCACTCTATATATTCTTTTAATATAAAAGATATGTCACACATTTTAATATAAATACATATGTCGCATATTTTNCTGTTCTTGTTTCGAAACTATATATATATATGAATTTTATCTTTAATCCTATATAGAATCGCACTTCAACTGAAATGATCGAGCCTTTCAAAAATTGATGCAATTGTTCAGTTTTGTTAAAACTGAACAAGATACAAAATGTTCATGCTACAATTGTGATAATTCATAAGAACATTCATTGCTAAGAAGAACAAGAAGAATAAATTATCACGTGAAATTATATTCTATTTTTATTTTCTTGTTATAAAATGCATATGCATTGGTGACAGATACTCAATCATGTCAACAATGATTGACTTTGAGAAATTAATATTATGAATATAATTACTCTACTGAATGTTTCTAATGCATATCTTGATGAAAATGACTCTTTTTTTTTCTAATGCATCTTACTGTAGTTCACGTAAGCTCATGCTGAGTTACTTATTTATGAAAGCAACAAATGAATATGACTGATTAATATTCGTAGTTTTTCTAGTGTATAATTAAAAATCTGACGTTTGATTTTCTTCAGTACATGATTAGTATCGAATTATAATTATATAATTGAAATTATTGTAGATTGCAACAAGAGAATTTCAATATAATCGATTCATTTTTCAGAATATTTAGAAAGAATAGATTCTAAAATATATTTCTTAAAGTCATTCGATTCTACGAAATACATTAGTTATAATTGCATTTATTAGTGTTCAAGATATAAGATAAAATATCATCTGAAAATTAATTGATTTCCATTTTTTTAAAATCATTGTTGGTTGATCCTTTCTTTTTCTTATCTCACAGCTAGAGATCAACATGGCAGACAGTGAGTGATTTAGAGAGTATGTCACACTGTGGACCATCACTTCTCTCTTCAGATTTTTTTTGTTGTTGTGATTCTTTTCTGGAGGAAACCGCTCAAAAAAAGAGTCGTTACGTTTTATGAACATGATCATCTTCTTTCCTAACACTGCGATGTAGCCACTATTGTGATTGTGGCAGTGAGTGACGAAAATTCTATTGATGGTAAATTAATGTGATTTGTTACATAGCAACTAATCAGACTGATGGCATGTAATAGCACACCCGACTTATGTCATTAAAGTTCTTTACTTGATAAACAAAATGAAACTAAAATATGAAAATATTCTTAATCGATGAAGAAATCACAAAATTATTATGCTTGATAATAGAACATTTGAGATTGTTAACAGATCAGCTTCTATGAATTTTTTCCAATGTATTTTTACTATTGTTCATACACTACTCGAATAATTTACGGGTTAAGATATATAATTTATGTATATAACAAGATTTTGTAAGAGGCCTATTAATTGTCTCTGAATACGAATTATGTGAAACAACAAAACAAATCCTTTTAAGAACAAGAGTTTGTAAGGTAAAATGATAAGGAAAGTAGAGAAAATTCGAATCTAAACTTGAACATTTATAAAAAAAACTATGAAAATTTCACGAAATTCTAAAAAATCATCATATAAGTACATTGAAAGTTAGTCATGACTGTAAATTACAACAATGGCACTGATTGCTAGTCATAGCAATAAGTTTCGAATTCTTTTTAAATAGACGTATTCATATATTCATTGTTGCTTCCATTTATATCTTTCTTCATGTCCTATGCTGATATTCATACAATTCAACAGTTCCTTAATAAATTATTTATTTTCAATTAATTTTCTTTTGTCACGATAGAGACTCAAACTCACCAAAGCATATTTTTAAACATAAGAATAGATTAAACGAGATCATTCTTTTAATCTATACAAGTGAGAATTTCCCATGTTACTTTCATGCTTGAAGGCGAATGAGAGAAGCTTGATTCTTCTAAAAATAATCGGATAATATTCTTTCGATGAAATATTGATAGTTCCATAGTACTTATTCTTCCTTTCTTTCTTTTTCTAAAGAATTTGATAATAAATTTCTTTCTATTCTTCTTACCTTGACAACAATTAATCGAAATGTAGTAATTAAAACAATAAGCCAATTACTAAATGTTGTAAATATATTGGCTAAAACATTAAAAAGTGCACGAGTACTAATATGTATTGTTAAAAATGTTGATGAATAATTCATATGTGGTAAAAAATAATAAAATAAAATATTATTTAATGAAACAACTGTAGGAGGAACAAGATCAGCCCATGCAAGTGTAACTAAAAGTGTTGTCATTGTTGAACGCATATGACGTCGTGTAAGAACAAATAAATTAATTAGATTACCAGCATTTGCAAGAAATGATAAAATAATACTTATTACACCTAATGTCCAAAATGCAAATGATGAACGAAAATCGTTTTCGGCCAGTCGACTTGGATCTTAAGTTTATTATTGAAAAATGAAATAAAATTTATTTCAATTTCAATTTACTTTACCTTCACTGCAATTCATTGAGATTATTTTACAAACATTAAATCTAATATAGTACAATAAATTAGATTCTGATTAAAAATATGTAATTCATTGAAGTTTCTATGTCAACTGGGAATATATTCCATGAGAAAAATAAATACACAACTAACAGATGTGCTTTATCCTTCGAATATATATATATATATAAGAGGAAAAGAGATGAGAAAAAAAAACTTCTAGTATTATTCTAATTTCATAACGATGCATCACATAATTACCATAGAATATATATATAGTAAAAGTCATATGTTGTTGTTTTTCTTCAAAGTAAGTTTACTCTAGTTCTCATATAAAAATATCGTGAAGTTATTTTGAACTTTCATGATAAATATGGTAAACAAATCAATCTATTACATTTATTAATTATAAAAATATTTACGTGTATAATACAAAAACTCAAACAAATATATATATATAGCTCATGTTTTTGTTTTTTCTATAAAAATGAAAATCATGATGCATATCTAAACACGCTCAGAGATAAAGATGTGATGCATTTTTAATAATCAGTTGATTGTTAGAAAAGTATTTTTCTTCTTCCGTCATCTCGTTTCTTTTTTCGAACATTTCTATTCTATAGAAAAGTAAATCTACGTTCATCATTAGAACAGCATTCAAAAACACGTTACCTAGAACGTACGAAAAATCTTATAGAAATTTTAAAAAAATGAACTATTCATTTTCTATAGTCCAATCAATGAATAAAAAATACTTTTCAAGTTGATTCTATAGTTAACATCATGACGTCTTATTGTACAAAGAAAAGACCTTAACTATCGTCGAACAGATGTCCGCTTTACACACTAAATATTTAGTAGATTTTTGTGTTCTACATTCAGTGTTTCTTTTTTTTTTCTAGGTTCGGAAAATAAGGAAAAGCAATTATTATAGTACCCGGAAAAATCTGTTTCCTAATATAATAACGATAAAATTGTTGCTAATTGATGATAAATATTAAAACTAAGAAATCATGAAATCAAAATAAAAGAAAATTCTAGCTATAGATCATTCATATATATCTAGATAAACTATATAGAACAATTACCGAAACATATGTATTCCTTGTAGAATTAGTCAATACTGTGAGATTAGTCTATATATATATATACGCAAAGTTTCTAAACGATATCAGTTGTAATAAGACTTCTGAACAACTCTACGATGATTTTAGCCCTTAAATTATAAGATATAGTAATTTATCCATTGTTTTCTCTATCTTTTCCTATGAGAAAAAAAAAACAGCAATGCTTCATAATTTCTCATAGCTTAGGTAATGTCATGAAAAGATCATTTTTTTTCTTTTATGCCGTTACTCTGTCTATTAACAATTCTTTGTTTGACATTAAGTCGATTCTTAATTTACAAATGAGTTAATAAAGAAAAAAATTCTGGTACAAGTACAACAAAAGAATAATAATATATGAAAGGAGTTATTTATTGTTTCGATCTCTGTTCTATAACATAATATATATAATCTTTTTCTAGGACATTCAATGTCGACACCAAAAAACAGAAAAAAAGAAAAGAAAAGAAAATGATAAGATCTTTTTCTATGATATTTTCTATGATTTTTGAATACACTTTCTATTGCGAATATCACTGAATATTAATGAGAAAGTAGCTGGACTTCCGTTTCAGCTCTTTGTATAACTGGAGATCGAATAGAACTATTCATCTTTTGTGTAAATGATCAACTTCCGAGAGAAAAAAAAGATCCTATGTAACCTTTTGGATTACTTCATATTCTTGACGATAAAATAAAGAGAACAATAATGAATGTCTTGAAAAATTTGAGTGCATATATAGTATGACACAAATACTAGATTCATTCTATCGTTTGATTCGATTAGAAATATCTGAACAATATTCACATGAGTGTATGAGTCAATCAGTAATACAATTTATACTTCGAGTTCATACGAAAGGCATGCCATGATTAGTTCGTTTTAAAATAGAAAAAAGAGTGATAAATCAAGTATAATTCTGTCAAAATCTTCGCTGCTACAGTGCATTCACATCTCATTAAATATGGTTCTTTGATGGTATATTAGAATATGCATGATGTTTTTATGTATATGACTATGAACTAAAATAGATAGAATGTCAATTCATGACCAATCATATCACATCATGCTCACTGAACTGCAAAATTTTCTCTCTATCCAAACAAATACTCTAGTCTCGTTCATTATACTATCAAATAAATAACAAATGCTCAAGTAAAACGATGATAGAAAAATTTTTGCACAAAAACAAAATTAGAATTTCTTTTTGTTTTTTTTTTCATATTCATCATTAAATCGGATCACAATTTTAGTATATGAATTTTTGCTTGAAATATCAAGGAAATGAAATGGACAAAAAAAACAAATAAACTATTGAGTTTAAATAGAAAATTTTATTCTCAAGTGTCACAGAACAAAATATAATGTTTTGAGATCATTCAAATTAATTTCATATCATCAAGATTTTTGCTTCACATATTAAATAAAACACAACTAAAAATAAATTCTCTATTGAACATAAATTGTTTTCATCAATCTTTATCATGTTGATGTTCTATTTGAAGATTCATAAAAAAAAATAGTTTTTATCTCAGTTAAGTATGTATACTGTGTAAAGAATGCATAATCATGTTTTTCTATCGAGATAGCATTATACTTTCGAATAGTATAAACAATAGATTTTGTACTGAAAGTAAGGCTTGTCGTTATTAGAATTTCTAAATCTAACTGATAATCGATCGAACGATGATGAGTTTCAGAATGTTAAAATTTTTCGACATTTAAATTGTAACAATAAATCTTTCAAATAATTTTCTTACAACAAAATTTTGAACTAATCGACATATAGAAGTAGTAACATCAGAATATTGGATAAATCAAAACATGTTTAATTATTATGATTAAAGAATGTTTTACTATTTCAATTCTCATATTGTCATTTGAGAATTAATGTCAAAATTGTCTCTTACCAGAAATATAAGTGAGTGAAGGCAACTTTACTAAATCTGATAGACGAACAATTTGTTTTCTTTTGAAAATTTCATATTATTAAGAATAACTACTTACGAAAATATTCAATTATTCGTCGAAAACTTCCGGCATTTAAAAACACAGTGCCCCAATAAATTATTAGGTACAGTTAAAAAATTCCAGCTTGCTCAGTCTATCATATCGTGTAAAATTTGTTGTTTATAATGCTTAAAATAGGAGTGTCATTCCCTATGGAAAACTATTATTTTGCATCCTACTCTCTATAAGTAAAAGGCATATTATACGACCTTACTCAATAACAAATTGTTTTACAATTTTACAACTATTAACGATACTGCGTCTGCTGAGAAAGTCTTGAAAAACGTAATTGTTCTCAATATATCAAATTATATATTCAAGTGTGAAATCATGTGGGCGATACAGGAATCCAGACAATATAATTAGAACAGATGCTTTTCTTATAAAATGATTTCATAATCTATTGTCTATTGTATAGCAATCTAAGTCTAGAGACACCACTCGCATCGATACAACTGATTTATTTTCATTCTGACAAGACTATTTCGAGAAAAACAAAAAGAAGACATTCGTCTGATATAATAATAGAACTAAACAAGACTATCAGTATTCGCAAAATATATAAATGATTTTTATGTTTACTAAATTTAAAACATGTTATTATAAGTAACATATTATGTTAGGAAAGTTTTTGTAAAATTAGTTGTCAAAAAGAGAAAATAAATAATGTGAAAAAAAAAAAAAAACAACACACAAATCGTATATTAAGAATATCAATTATTATAAATAAATAAAAAGACAAGAGAGAGAATAAAAACTTCTCTATTTATAATTAAGAAATATTTCGTAGAGTTGAAAAATCTTCTTTTTTTTTTTTTTCATTCTCTAGTTAGAATTATTATTTTTCATTGTTGATAATAAATTTCGTCGATTAAACATTGGTGATGATACTTTTAACATTGGTGGAGGTTTGAAATTATTATCTGTCATAATATTATTATCAGTAATTCGTACATGACGTCTTATTGAAGATGTTCGAGCTGGTAAATAAATACGAACTTGAGGTTCTTGTTTTTGAAAATGTTCATCTGAATCATCGAATACTTGTGATAATGATGATGGTGGTAATGGTAATGTTGATGATGATGAAGGAAGTTCCATTAATTGTGGTGATCCTGAATGTGATGATGATAATGGCAAAGAAGAAGACAGATTTTGTTTGAATATTCTATGATGAATACGAGCTAAACGAGGTGAACCAAGTAATTTTGGTGTTGAACATGCTGATGATATTAGTTCTTTAGTATTTGTTTTTGAATCAGCAGCTGATTTTCGTCTAGGTAATGATGAATGTTGTTGTCGATGACGTTGAAGCCAAGAATTAAATTGTGTCATACATATACTTTTACTACGTTGTAAAGTTTTTTTAAAATCAAAACGTGAACGTTTTAAACGTTTATTAAGTGCTGTTGATGATGATGGAAGACTTGGTTGTTCTGGTTCACTATTTGTTGGTGTTGATATATGATCAACAGGAGATGATGATTCTAATTTAGTTATTGTTGTTTCTAATGGTATTATTGTATTTGATGTGTTTGTTGGAAGAATTTCACTTGATGATATAAGTGATAATTTACGTAGACATACACGATTTAAAGTCGTTTTTGTTTGTTGTTGATTTGATCGTTTATCATTTAAATTTTCCTCATGTGAAATATTTGTTCTATAATAAAAAAAAAAAAGAAAAGAAAAGTGAATTGCTTTCAAATTTATTTATAGTATATAATATTGTTTTTTCAGATTAGAGTATTGATTTGACAACAACAATAACAACAATTGTTGAAATGTTTCTTTTATCAATTATGTCGACAGATGATCTTCATTATCTATATATGACAAATTATACTTTTTGTTATGTATGTTAAATGGCAATTTACTTGTTGGAACTCTTGAATATTGATATAATACAGCTGTTTTCAAATATATAAAAATCTTAAGATTTATGATGATAAAAAAACCGTACGAATTTCTAGTTAATTAATATGTTAGAATATTGTCCATTGCAAAGTAGTCTATTCGAAAGAATGCTTGAAGCATACTCTTTGTCAGGTACTTTGAACTCAATAGTTCTCTTGATGGCTGGTGAGAACACTTTTTTTTAGGTTCCTTCTTCTTCCGATTTCAATGATCGAGATATGGAATTTTCAAAATATAAGCCCATTTTCATAGAGAATATATAGAACATGAGTTTTGTTGAAAGCTTTGTATTTCAAAGAGATTTTATTTAAAACTTCTAAAATTTGTAATGGAAGCTAGTCTAATTAAGATCTTTATATGCGCAAAACTTCAGGTCAAAATTCGACAATGTAGTCAAATCTCAATAGGAACTCAAATCCTTTTAGGATTTTCATTAAAACGCTATTTAGTCTTTATAGGCAAAAATAATCATTAAAACAGTATGAATTACTTGAAGACGTTCCCTTGTGAGTCGCTACCTTATTTGGCATGTCTCCAATAGATACTGTATTCAAACTTTAGTAACTTCAACCATGGAATGATTTTGGACAAGTCACTAATGACTATAGGGATTTTAAACGATTGAGTAAAAGAACTCTGGATCAGATCGGCTTTTGATCCAGAGCAACAACTAGCATTAATTATACGAAAGATATCGGGCTAATGAATCTACGGTTAGATAGCAATTCATTTCGCATGACAGAGGTATCCTTCCTTAAATTATAAATAGAAAGTTTTGAAAGTAAGTAGTTTTTGTATCTATTGAAAGAATAAATATTATCGTTCAGTAAAAAAATACAATGTTAACTTGTTAAAACAACAAATTGATATATATCATAATCTTTTGTTACTTAATAAAGTCGAAATCTTCTAATTAATGGTAAAAATTTAATTCTGTTATCACAAGTAGATAGGACAGTTTTAGATAGAGAGAGCGAAAGTTGTTATGATTTCTATCGACGAAAAATTATAATTTTTTCAATATTGGAAAATTAGTACTTCAAATTCTCTTGTCAGAATGCTAGTATTTGCATAAACTGTCTGTTGTACCAAATAAATAAGTCATCCGTTAGACTTTGCACGTTAATCTCTTCAATTGATTCATAAAAACCATGAAGAGCGAAAGTAAAGAATTAGTTGATTATTATTAAAACAGTATATATACGAATTCAATCGATATATAAATTAAGAAAAAAGAATAGGTCAAATTTTTTTTAAATACATACTACCATTACAAATAACAATGGATAATACTCACAAGTAGAATTTGTTAACAAGAATAGACGAATTAATCTTTATTGAAAACACTCATAAACTAGACTTATCATACAAAAATTATTTAAGACTATAAGATTATGACTTATTGTTAAAGTCGCATCCAACAGGAAAGTCCTAACGACGGAAACTGTAGATTTTTGTTTTATCAATAACAAGTTATTTAATAATAGTTTTTGACTGATTATTAGTTTTAATCAATTTCTTAGCATACAGATCATATTATTTTATGAGTTTATATCAAA